CCCCACCCACCCCCGCCGACGATGATTTGCGCTCCGCCGGCGGCCAGCGTGCAACACAGACGTAAACTTCACACGTGTTCTGCATGGCACCCTATACAATTCGGCACAATTATCTGGCCAAACGGTCTGGCCTTCGCCGCCAAATAAGACGTCTTAAATTACAGCCGCCTGGTGCGGCCGCAGAGCAAGGTGGGCCGCGGAATGACGTCATTATTTCACACCATTTAATGGGGTGGCAAACGAGCGGTTACTCCGGCAGATAATTACCCCCTTTTCAGCGGCGGGCGGCGCCGCCGGCCAGCGAGCCAGCGCCCGCCGTTCGACGCCAATGGCCGGCGGGATGAAGCGGTCGGCACCGATGGCTCATCGTTCACCTATGGCGGCGCGCGGCCGGCCCGCGGGCCAGAAATCAGCAGGAATCGAGGAAATCGTTATTATCGAGTCCATTTGAGCCCGCCCGACTGTGGCTTAATTATGAGCGTTGGTTTCCAGGTACCGGAAAAGGATATTTGATCGCCCGATGTTGAAATGCTGCGGAGATAGGCATGGCGATTTGAATGGAGGCAGGGAGAAACCTTCAGTGCCATATGTAATTGATACTGTTTTGCTAGTTAGCCTGCAAATCACGGCAGCATTTCTTGTTGATCCAGGTAATATAACTCGAGCTGGAGATCGAGGCTAAGTAAATAAAAACTTTACCCAGCAGCCGCACTGCAGAAACGCAAAAATCAGACATGTTTACCAAACTCGGCAGCGGCACTTGTTTACACAGGCTCGCATATGAGATGATCTTCCAGCGTGGATGCGGATATCGGTGGCACGCGGCACCGCTGCCGAGAAGAGAAAGCTCGCCGCCGCAGCGCCCGCGGAGGCCGACCCTTTCTCTCCAGCCGGCCGCGGCGTCGCCCGCTCCACCTGAGCGCCGCCCGCCCTCGCGGCCGCCCCGGTAACGATATCGACGCGGTGGAGCGAGAGGCTTTAACGAGCCGCGGCGAGAAAAACCCGTCCCGGCCGGGCCAAGCCGGCGCCGGACCGCCGCGCTGCTACCGGGCCTCTGATTACGCGGCTAACGAGCCGCCGCTGCCGCCGCCGCCGCCGCCGCGGTCCTCTCGGCCCATCCGTCGCCCGCTCAGCGCGCCGACAGTCGGCGCGACGCCTCTGGCGCGCGGGCGGCGTGGCGCGGCGCGGCCTTGTTCGGCGCCGGCGCGCCGTCTGGCCGGCCCGGGCCGGGAGCGCAAGTGACAACTCAATTAGCGGGCTGGGCGAGAGCGGCGCGGCGCGCGGCGCGTCGGACCTGGCGCGGCGGCCGAAAAACGGGCCCCGCTGATGGACGGTGACGGGCACAGCCCGCGCACGCCGCCTTCAAACGCTCCCCGACGGCCGACAGCGGCGGCGGAGCGCGCTGAGCGGCCGCATACCGGGCCGCCTCGTGCATCAGCCGACCACCGCGCGGAGGCGAGATAAAATCGCCGGCAATTCGGTCCGCCGCGGGGGGCGGGGCGGGGGTTGCGCGCCGCCGCGTCCCGCCGGATTATACAAACAGACGCGACAGGCGTGATGGCCGTTGGCTTCGAGCGCGGATCATGCGCTGGGCTCCGGTGAAGGAGGCGGCGCGCAGTCGGCGCGGCAGTGTCGGCCGTTTGGCCGCCCTGGCCCCAGCCTGTATGCACTCGTGGGACTTTTCTTCAGGTTACTTTCGCGCCGAGACGGAGCTTTTTTACGGGTTTCCTGAGAGTTATCACCACCGGCGTTTGGTGGGAATATATAAAATCCAGCGGTAATCTACGCCGTCAGCTGAGGAAATGAGCCTGACTGAAATCTCTTCTAATTTCCGCTCCATGTTGCCGATCTGGACAACAATCTCCAAAAGCCTTCAATCAGAACCACACCACCGCAAAGCATCTTCCGTCCCACAGCGTTCCCTCGGTGTAAGTCTCAACCACAAAGGTTGCCAGATCAGCCCGAGCTCTTTAAATGAGTCATCATTGAACGCCACTGCAAGATTTAGGTATACTGACGAGCGGCTACGAGCCGAATAATAACATAAGTCTAAAATGTGTTTTGCAGCCAGACCCAATCTTTAAACTGAAATTGGACTGCCATAACACGGTGTGTCAGCGTTCAAGTAACGCCGCACAAAGTCTGATGACATTCGTGCTGCGCGGTCTACTTCAGAGCGGTCACATCGCTTCCGTCTGACAACACTCCCATCAATAATGGTTGCCCTATATACTAATTATCATAATCAATAACCACGTGACTCAGACTACGCCGGCGTGCGCAGATGACACAATAAATCGGTCCGATCGAACCGCACTGCTCCGGGTCCGGCCGACACGCGACCCGCCTGCTGTACAGTCCGCACGCCACGCCGCTCATGTCACTGCCCATGCCCGCTCAGGGTCCCCACGTCTCGGGGCTTTCATCGCTGAGGGGCTCACGGCAAAGCAAAAAGCCAATAAGAGCCATCGCTCTGAGCCCAGCTAGCACCTGGGCGGCAGGCGCGTCTCCCGGGAGACTCCGGTGGAGCCCAGACGGCTGCTGGGCTCGCGCCGGACCCCCGGGCACAGCCGCTCGGTCCTCGGACACAGTCCTCTGCCCCCCCCCCCCCCCCAGCCCCGGCCCCAGCCGCTCGGTCCCCAGACAAAGCTGCTCTCCCCCCCCCCCCCCCGGGGCCCCGCCGCGCGGTCCCAGCGCCCAGCTGCTCAGGGCAGGGGAGCCCCGCGCGCGCACCAAGGCGCGCGGCACGACCGGTCGACCGGTCCCAACAAATGGACAGCGATCGGCACTCGGTCGACCGCCGAAAACACACCCATCACGCCAGGGAAAAACGGCAACCGTCGACGAGCGATCGTCGGAGCCGACAGGCCAGCGTCGAGACAGAAGGGACGGGGCGGCCGTCGCGCGGGCCGGCACAGGTGGCGCACGAGATGCACGTGCCGCAGGTGGTAGTAAGCCGCAGGTGGTGCCGACGGTAAGGGTGACAAACGGGGCACAGGTGAGATCGCATGCGACACAAGAGAGCCTCTCTGCGATAAGACAGTTCATGCGATGAGAAGGCAACGCGGTGCCGATTCGATGGAATGGAGAACGTATAGATGGGAGCCTGTGAGAACATTACACTCCGGCCCGATGCTGGTCCGGATACCAATTTGTTCGCGCTTGTCTCTATGTCTTGTTTCCATGGTGTCTCGGTGCAGCCATCCATGAAGCCAAGTTCGCCGGCCCCGGCGGCATCAGCGTTGCGGGTAGCCGCACCGTTGATGACCTCAGCAGTTGCATGCGTCAATACATTATCACACGATTATTAGCCCCGCATCTCACGATTATTACCCGTGCCGGCCAATGCACCGGCCACGGACATTCAGCGTGTGCATTCTGCTCACGTCACAGGCCGGCCGCTTCAAATTCAGTCGGTCTCTGGCAGGTCCTGTGTCTGTATGCGATGTCCCGAGAAATTGCTGCTCAGACTTGCCGTGATCACTCATCAACTGAACAGCTCCTGCTCACCGGTGCCAAATCCTCGTTTCTTGGCATCCATCGTCCTCTCTTCCCCTGAAGCGGGCCGACGCCCGAGTACTCGCCTACCATTCAACCCACCCTGGGTGCCCAACTTATTCCTGACCTGCCCAGGCTAGCCTACGGCACCGACCACCCCCTCTCAGCGCCCGTCATCGTCCCTGAGCACCCCTCCCGGCCGTCCGCCTCCGCCGTAAAACGTTTCATCTGGGCGGCCGAGCATCGTCGCCAACGACGGCGCGTCGCCGGCGGCGGCGTCAGCTCGCGGCGCCCTGGCCCGGCCGGCGACGTAACCAGGCCGTCCGCAGGCAGCGCCGGCCTCCGTCGACGCTTCCACTTCATCCCGACCGCATAACGCCTTTGATGAAACGACCGCTACGGCCGACATCTACATCCAAATCTGCTGCTCCATGGGCCGCCGGTCGCCGCTCCGGCGATATGTGAGCAGTGCCGCCGGCGCCCGGCCCCCAGCGGGCTCTTCACGAGGCATAGAGCGCTCCAGAGCGCCCGCCGTAGACACGGCAACGGCTCATGCAGAAATCCCATCAGGGGTGTTAATGGCTGAACGTATCAAACGGCGGTGTGATTGAATGCCGGGATTGCCGAAGGCTTCAAGGGTCAACGGGCGTCGTCGCTCAGGTAGAGACGGTGCACGTGGAGCTGACGCACGGGTTCGGACGCGCGCTTTGGACTGGGACGGGCCGAACGGGCTATTGCTCGGCGCAAAACGATTTATACGCGTATCGCGCTGCGTCCCGAGAACGAAAGTTGCGTCCCTTGGTTGAACGAGCATTTCGAGAAGTTTCTCGTCTAACCCCGGATATACAGCAATCAGACTATAACTTTCAAATCACAACAAAACTCCGTCTGAAAGTTCTATGAAAACGACTCCTTGACATTTCATGTTTTCCGCTAGCCGACCGGAGAGAGGTGTTTCAGCGTGTGGACGACACCCTGCTGCCGAGCGGCAGATGTCCGTCGATGAGCGGTGAAGTTCTGGTTACCCAGCAGACATAGACTACCTGCGGGCGCGTGGCGAACCGATGAACTCCACATAGCGAACCATCGGCGTACCAACAAGGGCCCAGACGAATCAACTGTCGCTCCCCAGCTTCGCTAACACTGAACACTTTACACTGAACACAGCTTCCCTAACACTGAACACAGCTTCGCTAACACTGAACACTTGTCGGTCCACGCCCGCACCTGCATATAAGGACTATCCACGCCTATTGCACCCAAGCCAGTACAATTTAATTGTGCTCAATGCGTCATGCCTCGCACGACGCCTAACCATGTCGACCGCGTCGCATGCTGAGAAATTGTTATCCCCAAACGAAGATGCTGCACAATCAACGCGACGTTCGGACACAAGCGAGCCAATAACACTGCTCCCCAGCCCCCGCACTCAGCCGCGTTCAGCGACGTCCTGCGCCGCTGCGCCGCGCTTTACCTCTATGCCTTTCCTATGCCCTTTTTACCTTTGTGATGCCGGATCCTGTGCGTGAAGAACGGCTGCTGGAAGAAGCTTCCGAAGCCGTCGTACATGTCGGCGGAGGCGGCCCCGAGCAGGGCGGCCAGCGTCAGGCACAGTCCCACCGGGCGTCCCGACGCCATCACGCGTCACGCGGCGTCACGCGGCGTTACACGGCGTCACGCGCGCGCACTGCGTCCCACCGTCCGCCGCCGGTGACCTCTCACACCGCGCGGCCTCCGCCGCTCATGCTTCTCCAGGCTCGGTCCGCGAGCGAGGCGGACACGGAGGATGCTGGAGCGGGCAGCGGACAGCGGGGAGCTGACCCCGCCGGGAGGCCGGGCAGCGGACAGTTAACCCCGCCGGGAGGCCGGGCAGCGGACAGTTGACCCCGCCGGTGGGAGGCCGGGCAGCGGGGTCAGGCGGGGTGGTGACGCAGCAGGCCGTGCGCGCCGGGGACAGGACCGAGCGAAGCACCTGTCCGGCAGGGCGGACCCGGCGCAGGTATGTGGAGGGAAGAGTCGGACCTTCACAGACAGGAGCCTGGCGGGAGAGTGGCGACTGTTAGCGGGAGAGTGGCCGACCCGAGGCGCTGACGCGGCGGCGGAGGGCGCTGGGGCGACAACCGGTAATTACCCCGAGCTTATGAAGATGTTCAACGCAGACGCGCGTGAGCGACCGCGAACGTGCAGCAGACCCGGTTCTGCAACGCGCTTAGTCCCAGCCCGTCCCGCAGGCCGGCTTGACACCCGGACCGCCGTCGAAACAGGCGACTATTACAGAGTATGCTGCAGATTGGGCGGAGATCGCCGCCCCTGCAGGTGTGAGCGCGGATCGAGAGTTAGATAGCGGCTAACGAGCCGCCGGACAAACCGGCCGCCGCGATAAACCGATCCCACCCCGGCACGTACCCCTCTCCCTTCTCGCGGCCCTCTGTCAGAGCAGCCAACAAAGGCATCCGTGGGGGCGTTACTTCGAGCCGTAGGCCAGAGCTGGCGGCTGGTGGCCACCACTGCAGATCTCCACCCGGAGCGAGGCCCCCCGGTGGCGGATGCGAGAGCTGCAGCCAGCCGTCGCTGGTATAGTTCGCCGCTTATCGGTCGGAGATTCGATCGGATGTGTTCGATGCACGCGAGCGGTTGAAGACCGCCGCGCGAACGGCCTCCAGAAGCAGCAGCAGATGCCACGCTGCCACGAACAGACCATTCCGCCTGTTCACCAACTGAAAATTATCCGGGCACAGGTGCCTGGATCCCGGGAACAGGTTCGACGACGCGCGGAACGGGACCGATGACTGGACGCACCGTCGCCGTCACCACCGCCGCCACTACCGCCGCCACCGCCGGCCATAACCACGGCCGGTGACACAGGATGTCCCCTGCAGCAGTGACGTGCCTGCAAACGCCAGAGGCACGGCGGACGTCGCTGTGCAAGGCCGCGCTGCTGCATAACTGACGCGCACCAGCGTCACCTTTGTAGTCGATGGTGCCGCACACGCTGCCGACGGCCGCGACGACGGAGGCAGCCAACGTCCCGGCGACGGCCCCAGAGTCGTCGCGAGCGCTCCGGGCCGCACTGAAGCCAGCGATGTGCGAGACAAAGTCGCTACCCTTGACTCCGATGCGTCGAATGCTACGCCACCACCGACCCCGCAGTGCCATCGACTCCCGCGAAATCGTGCTCGCTGCGACGCTAGCGGCGCGCCAGAGGACCCAGCGTCGAGACCGGTCTGTTAGTGATGTCAGTGACGGGGCCAGGGGCCCATCCAGCGTCGAGACCGGTCTGTTAGTGATGTCAGTGACGCGACCAGGGGGCCACCCAGCGTCGAGACCGGCTTGTCAGCGACGTCAGTGACGCGGTGGAGAGGCCACCCAGCGTCGAGACCGGTCTGTTAGTGATGTCAGTGACGCGGCCAGGAGGCCACCCAGCGTGGAGACCGGCTTGTCAGCGACGTCAGTGACGCGGCGGAGGGGGCCACCCAGCGTCGAGACGGCCCTGTCAGCGACGTTAGTGACGCGGCCAGGGAGCCACCCAGCGTCGAGACGGCCCTGTCAGTGACGTCAGTGACGCGGCGGAGAGGGCCACCCAGCGTCAAGACCGGCCCATCGAGGCCGTCCGATCATGACGAATGGCCGACCATTAGCGTCGATCTCAAGCCTGACCAACGCAGAGCAAACCGGTTGGTTTTCCCAGCACGTCGCCAGGTACTGATTGGTCAAGCGATAATTTATGACAAAGCGCGGTGGCCGCTTTCAAGATTAGAGCGGCAATTTGTTATCGGCGCCGCTGGAATGAGGACTGGCTCCGAGAGAGCGAGCGTGGCCTCGCTGCCGTGCCGGTCAGCTGGCGGCGCTATGACGTCATCCGCAGCACAACTACCACGCCATGCTTGCAACGGCCGACAGGGATTAGGTCCGTGGACCAGTGCGATCACGCAAATATGTGATGGCAACACATCTGCCCCGGGAAGGCAAAACCACGTCAGTACTTAAACGCGCGCGTGTGTGTGGAAAATGTTTTGCCTTGGCGCGGCCGAAATATAGCCAGCGGAGAAAGAGGTCGCAGCAATCGGAACGGGGCCGTCACGGAACACATGCAAGGACTGGCGGCTGTCACACCGCCCAACGCTCGTCGGCGGAAGGTTTAGTTCTCGAAGCCCAACGCCGCTGGCGATTCGCCATTCCGGACGCCCGCCACGGGATTGCCGTTACCACGCCCCAGCCCCACCAGTGCCACGGGTCGGCCACTCCCTCAGGTCCCGTCCGCATCGCAGAGCCAGCCGAAACGCACGACGCGGAACACCACACACTCCACGCGTACCTCCCACCCACGCCGCGCGAGCACAACTGACTGCCAGCTCCGCATCGTCTCTGCGGCCGAGGCCGCTGCCGGCCAGTTTAGTCGCCGCGCCGCCAGGGGCGCTACGGTCGCCTTGCTCAGGTGTCGGCCGGTACGCCCCTGGTGCGCCGGCCCTGCTGCGAGCTATGGGAAGCCGGCACCGTAAAAAGCGGGGCGTGTTTTTCCGCGCCAACACAGGGTAATTGCGGCTGATCGACTCGTGCACTGTGCGGAGGCGAGCGAATAAGTGCGCGGGTAGCACTGTTTTTAATGCGGCCCGCGGAGATGGCAGATAGGGAACGGCTCAAATTAACAGTCGGGCAGTGAATCAGACGGCCGGATATCTCAGTTGTGTTTTTGGATGGCTGCAAAAACACCATCGCGGCGGCCATCATCACAGCAGGCGCCATGCGAGAGGACACGATGCTAAAAACGCCTCGAGACTTATCCTTTCACAAAAACGCTGCCAATGCCCTCCGGCCGCGCCAAAAAACCCGCATTTCAAATCATTCGGGCATACAAATTTCGATCCGTTTCGCTTCACCGCTTCGCAGGGCCGGATGCTGGCCGGTGCCGCTGACAAAGCCAATCACGGCACCATTTACCGCGACCGGTGAAGGGGACGAGGTCGGGCAGGTGGGCCCAACACCGGCGGAACAATCTGGGGGCTGTAACCCCGCGGTGCGACAACAGCCCCAATCTAGCGCTGGAGACCGACCAGCTCGCTACCTGGCTGCTTCCGTCCAGCCTACTGGACGGACGATCCAGAGAACAGGCAGCCGCTCCCCGCAGCCTGTGACGTCACAGGTGCGAGGGCCGGCACCTCCTCCGCTCGGCGGGGGTTCGATCTGCGCGGCGCGCCGACTTGTTTTCCCGGCCGTTGGCCGACGATACGATCGGCTAGCAGGGGAGACAAATGAAGCCGTCCCGCGCGGACGCAGCGGCGGCAGCCGGCGGTGGCCGCTCGAAGCCCGCTAACAGGCCACCCAGCGGCGGCTTGGGGCACGCTCAGATGTCACTAGGGGCCGCTCGGGGCATCCTCACGGGTCACTCCGCGATGGCTGAGGACTTTCTCGCCGGTCACCGGTGGAGGCTTGAGCGGTCGGACATGTATACCACGCTCCTGCTAACACCACGGTCGGACTGCCGCACCGACGCCCGCAGGCCGACAACACGGTTGGGCCGCCGCACCGACGCCCGCAGGCTGACACCATGGTTGGGCCGCTGTACCGACGCCCGCAGGCTGACACCTGTACCGACGCCCGCAGGCTGACACCACGGTCGGGCCGCTGTACCGCCGCCCGCCGGCTGACACCACGCTTGGGCCGCCGCACCGACGCCCGCCGGCTGACACCACGTTCGGGCCGCCGCACCGACGCCCGCAGGCGGACACCATGGTTGGGCCGCTGTACCGACGCCCGCCGGCTGACACCACGGTTGGGCCACCGCACCGACGCCCGCCAGCTAACACCACAGTTGGGCCGCCGCACCGACGCCCGCCGGCTGACACCACGGTTGGACCGCCGCACCGACGCCCGCCGGCTGACACCACGGTCGGGCCGCCGCACCGACGCCCGCAGGCTGAACCACGGTCGGACCGCCGCACCGACGCCCGCCGGCTGACACCACGGTCGGGCCGCCGCACCGACGCCCGCAGGCTGACACCACGGTCGGACCGCCGCACCGACGCCCGCAGGTCGACACCTGTACCGACGCCCGCAGGCTGACACCACGGTCGGACCGCCGCACCGACGCCCGCAGGCTGACACCTGTACCAACGTCCGCCGGCTCAGCGTTTTGCAGCTCGTATTATTTACGGCGATCGGACGGCCGCCGCGCCGCCCGCCTCAGCAGCACCAGCCGGGCGCGGGCTGCAGCTAATGTATGCCGTTCGTTCCCCACCATGAGATACGGCCCGGCTGAAACGTTAATGAGAGGGGGCGGTAATCGAATGGGGAGGGGGGCGCCGTCGCGGTCAATCGCGGTCGAGTTCAGCGAGGTTGGCACGAGATGAGGCCTCCACAACACGGTCGGATCGGCGTGAATGCTTTCTGCTGCGATGTGTGCTTGGAAGCATTGTACGCGATTTGAAAAGAACGTTATTTCAGGAACCACGCTCGACAATGATCGCAGTGTCCAAGTCATGGCGTATGATGCATCTTTACATTTAGCTCGGACGGACCGCAATGGCGCCGCCGATTTTCGCAAACAGTGCAAATGGCTGCAAAACCTTGCACCCCCCGAACTGCATGACAATCCCACCGTCATAAAACATGTCTGTATCGCACAAGCCTCGGAGCGTCATACTTTTGCCCCTATCATCATACATAAACTAGCACCCGACCGGATCCACACACTCATGAGCGAGCGAAAGCTCATCAGGCCCGAATGCAGACAGCATTACGACATGAAAACGATCAAGCTCCCGAACATTTGTGAAGAACGTTTGCATGCGAAACGATCCACCCAACGACCAAACGCTTTATGCGCGAGGTCGCCGGCGTGGGTCATTCGCAGGCGGCTGAGCCGTGCGGCCTGCCGTTGGAGCATCACGCCGGCCGGGCCCGATTTCGGCCAGCCGCGACTACAAATCCCGGCGGCGCATTCAGACCCGGCGCGTCCATCATCGGGAAGGCGCGTTAAATCAGGCCAAATGAGACGGCGGCCGCTCGGAGGTGCATAACGCGCGCCCGTGCAGATCCGTCAGCGCCGCCCGGCCGCGTTCGTCATCGGCGGCCCGGCCAGGCGTGGTCTGGTCTGGTCTGGGCTGGCCTGGCCTGGTCTGCAGCCCACTTGTTGGCCGCCCGATGACAGCACGTGACAGCAGCCCCGCAAATGGGGCAGTAGGGCGATGATGGAGGCGTAGTGGCAGGGCGCCAAAGAGATGAAGGCGGTACGTTGACGGCAGAATGACAGCCGGCTTTGACCCTATCCCTGTACGGCTGCGCCCTCTGGACGCATGCTGAGACGTTACTGTACCACGGCTGTGTCTGAGACCCTACTGCACCACGGCTGTGTCTGAGGCGTTACTGCGCCATGGCTGTGTCTGAGACGTTGCTGCGCCATGGCTGTGTCTGAGACCTTACTGCACCACGGTTGTCTCTCAGACCCTACTGCAACACGGCTGTGTCTGAGGCGTTACCGCACCACGGCTGTATCTGAGATACTGCACCGCGGCTGGGCCTGAGGCGTTACTTACCACGGTTTTGTCTGAAACGTTACCGCACCATGGCTGTGTCTGAGACGTTACTACCCTGCGGCTGTGTCTGAGCCACCACCATTGTAAGCCGCCCGTCCAGCTAGACAGAGCCTGTAACCCACTCTCAGGCAGAGCCGCCAGACCCGGTCCCCATGCGGAGCTGGCTGGGAGACTGAGACGCCCGAGTGGGGTGGGCGCAGCTGGAGGCTCTGCTGACGCTCCCGGGAGGAGGCCCGGCTCTGCCGAGTTTACACAGCTGATGGGCACAATGGTGCCCATATAGCCGCCATCACTAATGCCAACAACTCTTTCCGAACAATCGGCAATCTATAGCCGGAACGGTACCCAATGTGAGCACGAAGAAAAACAACGCGGAAAGAGGAGAGAGAAAAATGCGAACAAAAAGTAGATTGCCGGGCTGCAGACGCCACGACTTAGTCAAAAGGTAAGCAGTGATAGCCGAAAAGAAGAGGTCCTGGAGAACACGCAGTCTTACGTGAAAATCAAATATGGCTGGCGAGCGGATGCGGAGTAGTGTAATCATGCTCATCGTTGCAAGGTAAACGTGATTCATGCCTAAGGAGGACGAGGGTAGTTAGCTGCCCGTTCCCGCGTGCATCATGCGCCATTCAGAGGACCACCCACGTCAGGAATTTAATGGCCTAGCGAGCATGCAATTATCTTGAATGCGGAATAACAACGGACTTACGGCCCAAATGCGTGTTTGATCCGACGATGCGACATGTTTGTACGAAAAGGAAATATACCGCGCGCGTAAGGCACGTGTAAATATTCCTCATCAGTCTATCTATCTATCTATCAGGTCTACCAGTAACCACTGACTGACATTCGTCAGCTGGAGACTTCAACTCTTCCGGTTATGACCAGAAGACCGCCAGCTGCGGATCGAAACACCACCAGCCCACCGCCGGCTGCAGATCGAAACACCGCCGACCGACCGCCGGCTGCGGATCGCAACACCGCCGGCTGACCACCGGCTGCAGATCGAAACACCGCCGACCGACCGCCGGCTGCGGATCGCAACACCGCCGGCCGACCAGCGGCTGAGGATCGAAACACCGCCGGCCGACCAGCGGCTGCGGATCGAAACACCGCCGGCCCACCGCCGGCTGCGGATCGAAACACCACCGGCCGACCGCCGACCATCGCAGCCCCATGTAGCGGACACGACAGGCGAGCGGGCCACGCGCGCTCGTGCAAATGGCCCGCTGTCGAGCGCGACAAGCCACTCCATCGCGGCTAATCCGGCCCATCTCGGGTCCGACACATTACACAAACAGATGCGCGGGGGACACAAACAAAACGCACGGATATGCGGCCCGTTACTCAGGCGCCGGACGGGTGCACCGACGCGGCTTCCAGGTGCCACTTCCGGGCATTCTTGTGCAGAGTGGGGCGAGCCTCTGCTGACACCTGCTAATGGCTACTGTTGTTATTGTTGCTAGTTATGTCATGGAAAATGGGCCGTTTCAATCGATACCTGTCTTTTAACATAATGCGACACGTTGCCTCCTGCAGGCACGGCTTTCTGCAATAGCGGGGAGTAGGGAGAGTTGTATCAGTTTCAATCCTGAGCTTCCTCCTGCTGTAACTACTTAGGACAGGACTACGATTTTTATGTCTGCAGATAACTATAACCCTCAGCTTTATATCTAGCAGTTAAATTTTGAAGGGGACCTTGTCGTTGTTTGTCAAATGACTTCTGAATGACATCCTTTCAAATGAAATAACTTACCCTACCCTGGAGTAAATTGCGTCACATGATAAGGGAAGTTGCACTTATG